ATTTACAGTATTAAATAATTTTGAATAAAAAAAAAATTACAAGATTATTTATAGCGTGCTCTAGATGTAAACCGTCACCTTCGCTTACACCTAGTTATATAATAAAATAACTACACTCACCTGCCAAAAGTATCCGGATACTTTTGGCAGGTGACTGTAGTTTGTAATACAAAATAATGCTTTATTGTTTACATTTTTGTTCCGCCGATCTCTCTTCATTCAAGTAAGGATTTTTTATTGGGAAAAATACAGGTCAATTTTGACAATAATAATTCGTTTTATCGTTTTATATATCATTTTATTCGTTTATTCGTTCGTGCTAGCGAAACTTTATATAATAAAATGCTACTTCTGACGAATTTTAAAACGAGTAGCAAAGTTTTTATTCATTGAAGTGGGTTTCGGTTGTTTTAGAACACTTATTTTTCTTTCTTCTTTTTAAACATTTTTTAGAAACAATACGTACTACTAAATCATTTATAAAATTATACATAAAACGTAATTTCTTTCGATATTCGTCTTATCAAGTTATGATTTATTATACGTGGAACCATATGCAACAATCATCTTAACATTAAAATGAAACCATAGTCTTATTGAGTATATATGAATAGATAGTCTAGAAAAACTTGTTATAACAAAAATTTGTTTTATCGAGTTACGTCCATCGAGTATACAGTATATATAATAATAATGAATCTTTCTATAATGTATCTTGCTCTATAACGGACTGCGAATTTAAGTCCAACTTATAACCTCTATTACTATGATAATAATTGTTGCGATACTTTTTTGTAAGCCAAATGGTCTGTTATTATTATAAAGAGAGTGAATGGTATATATATTTATTTATATTCTAAATTCTTTATCTGTCATTTCATTTATTGAATACGTTGTAAGAGTTTATATTTCTTTTTTAATTCTGTTATCTCATTTTGTAATCCATCAATTGAAACTAAAGAATTACTATTACAATAATCAGTCGCAATATTTTTAATTGACTTACATCTTTTAAATGACTTTTCACCATCTTTCCTTTTTGTATTTTTGATTCCTGTTATATTGCATCACAAAATCATAATAATTTGAACAAGGGGAATCACCAATGTTTACAAAAAAAATTCCTTTGTCAGCTTTTTTTTTTTGGCCTATTCAGTAACATTTCTAAAACGTTGAGAATTTTCTTTTTCACGGCAATCACAGAATTGTTTAGAAAGTATTTTTAAATAGATTGCCATTTAGGGTTTCTATCCGTAGTACAAATTCTTATTTGGATGATTCATTTTTATTATTATTTATTTGTTTTCATTAAATTGCTCGTTTTATTCGTTTTACATCTAGATCTTATTTATTTAACAATTACGATAATTACTATTTATAATCTATATTACTACTTAAGAAAAGAAAAATGTCAGCTGTTACTATTTATTATTAGATTGATAAAAAATTTAGATTCTATTATGGTTGGCTCGGTCTAAAGACTCCTAAATTTTGCACAAATTTTAAAAGTATAGAAGTTACTTTCTGTCTTACCTTTTAAAAAAATAGCGTTATTGGTTGATAAAATAATCATTAGTTTTAATGTAATTAATAGAGAGATTTTCTCAAAAAAAATATTGCTAGGGCCATTACTAAACTTAGACCAATCTATGAAAATTTGGCAGTAAGGAAATTATTATACGATTAATCAGAAAGCAATTTTAATGACTTTTTTGATTTTATTATGTGTCAATAAATGTCTGATTATATATACTGTTACTATAGCCATCAAACATTTAGCAACAAATATAGAGAATACGGTATTTTTTTTAAAAAATATATGATTTAGAAAACAAACAAGTATAGATGGATTGATTATCTATATATATGTAAAGAGTAATATTATGTTCATTTTTGGAAATACTTTTAAAAAATTTTTATTGCATTTTTGAATGAATCACAAAATTGCTATTTTTGAAATTTAGTGCGTTGCGCAGCAATAAGCGGTCTTTAGACCGCGTCAACCATAACGTATTTAGTTTAATTGAAATAACAAACAATCATAAGACCTTAGGTGTATACTGTTATTATAGCTATCCGACACATATAGAGAACACAGTATTTTTTTTTAAAAATATATGTTTTAAAAAACAAACAAGTATAGATTGATTGATTATCTATATATATATGTACAGAATGATAATAATGTAAAACTATTATATGTTTATTTTTGGAAATGCCTTTAAAGTTTTATTGTTTTCTTGAACGAACCACAAATTGTTATTTTTGAAATTTGGCATCAATAGGTAGTCTTTAGACCGCGCCAACCATATTATTAATACTAATACGGAGTTACGAAAACGGTATGAATTTTTTTCCGTGTGTTACGAAAAAATTGCACTTTGTGAAATATTGTTATTAATGAAAAGTAGCCAAAATTATTCAATAAAATTATATCAGAAAGCCTTAGAATATAACATATAAAATTTCTAAGGAGATTGTTATGTGTGCTTTAGAGCAATTATTAAAGAAATTTATACACTGGGGTTTTTTTTCGAAATAAATCAAAATTCATTTATTTTCAATTGACAAAAGTTATAGGAATCTGGAAGCATGAAATTCTATATACATAATCTTTAAAACTTTTGCTACAAACTGGTATAATTTTTTGTACGATTATTATGTATATTTTTGTGTCAGAGCTATTATTAAAAATATCATGTTAAAATTTCAGAGACAAAAATTTAGCAAAAAAGCATTCGATGTCTATTTTTTGTGTGTATCTGTTTAGTAATTCGATTTTTTGTGTGCGCAATTTTTTTTCGTAAAAACACACTGTACACATGTGGGTAGACTTTCCACGGCAAGATTCTAACCGGTTTAATCAATTTTAATACATTCCTTATTACCCTAGAATAGTAATGTTGGAACCGGTTAAAAACATTATTTAAAAATCAAAAATACTCGAACCAGTCCCATAGACTAAAGCATGTAACAATTAGTTCTAATCAACAATCGTTCAAACTCTTATATATTATTCCCCTAGTTGTTTCATACCAATTGTCAAAAGGCCACAGCGATAACGAGTTCTAAATCGAGAAAATTCATTTGGAAATTAGGATTCCGCCTTATTGCCAAAAGGCGAGTATCATTTACCTCAAGATTCTATCTGGAAGCTATAAAAACCCCATTATTTCGTTCAATCAACATTATAACTACAACAATGTCTTCTAACGAAACAACCAACGCTTTTCAGGATGTAACTATTCCAGACACCAAAATCGTTCAAGATTTCGTTGTAAAGGCTCTAGATGGATTTAATCAGACAGCGAAAATAGAAGTTCGAGGTCAGACCAATGAACTTTGCAATACTGTTCAATCATTTGTCGATAAAATACTCGCTGAAGGAAAAACATTCCATAAATTAACACATAACAGTGTTGTCGGAAGCCAAAGAATAGCCAATTATTGCACAGATATTATATCATACGTCGATACACTTGCGAAAGAAAGAGTAAGAGGTGAAGACTTTTATGAAGCGCTTAAAGATTTACTGGTGACGGCTGGAGAATGTAAGGATGAAGCTACCGCGTTAAAGAAAGGATACATTCAAATTTGTCATAACTTGAAAGAGATCTCTGCAGAATTGCAAGAATATGATAAATATCTTGAAAGTAATAAGGTTGAACATGATAGAAACATGACTGATATGGGTAATGGAAAAAAAGCGGCCAAGCGAATAAAATGGACATGCATTCTTAGTAGTACAGGAATGACTATCCTAGCTCCTGTGACTGGGGGTATTTCTTTAATCGGTACAGCCATTTTTGCGCATGTTGCCAATAAACAGGATACAAAGGTGAACGAATGTCGCCTCTCTAGAAATGAATCTCGTGCTATGTTGCAAAAATTGAATGCCATCAAAGAGCCGATTACAGGAATCACTACACAAACAGATTACATCATCGATATTGTTGACAAATTTCAAGAGTTTTGGGATAAGCGAGTCATTGAAATTGAACTCCTCATTGAAGATTTTGAGAAAAAGAAAGATAGTATGGTGGGTTACAATAAATTAATCGCGTCTCCAGTTATTAAGAAATGGACAAACGTTCGTAATCAGTACACTTCCTATTCAACCAATGTCTTGACCTCGTTGAATAATACTACAACTAGTAAAAGAATTGCAGTAGAGACTTAGGTATTTAAAAATACATTTATTTTAATTTATTTATTACATTTTCTCTCTTACATAATAGGTATTAAAAATTCTTTCATTTTTCAGATGCCATATCATGTTTTGTATTGCGGCACATGCAGTTTATCTTTAATTTATTTATTTGATATTTAGTATTAATTCATAACAATGTAGAAAACTTATTATTACTTTTATAAATTTATAATATGTTATTTAAATTTTATAATTAAAAATTAATACCAGTTTTATAATTAAAAATTAATACCAGTTTTTAAACTTCTGAGCCTTTGTTCGAATCAACATGGCAAGTAAAGAGGGTGTTGCCTTTAAAAAACATTTGGCTAATCCTGTACTATTCATGATTTATGTATTGCTTTTTTTTTCATAAAACCAGTTAGAATCAAAAGCATAACTTAAAATGTCCCTGTTTTTTGACTAGTATGGTATTATGTTGTAATTCTAAAGAGTTCCAAATTTTTATGATCGATATACAGACGAAATGATTTTTTATGGAAACTCGGTAAATGTCGAGGCGGACAAAATCTACAATAATTTTCATCATTCAGAATTTCTCAACAAATTATTCCCTCGCTAATAAATGAAACGTTAACACATCAACTGAATATACAGTATGTCATGGTTACACGTACAGATTTAATGTATTCATACAAAAAGTTACAAAGAGAAAACATTTACAGTGCCTTAGTATTTGAAATTGTATGTTTTATTGGCCAGTTAATAAGACCCGATATTTTGAATCACTATATGTGTATCTTCGTAACACCACATCTCAAGAAGAACAATTGAGTTGATCACGTGCCAATTGTCTCATGAAAATAGTTAACACGATATTTGTGTTGCTGTCTTTGCACCTCTATAGCTATTCCATATTGTGTATAATAGAGATCAAGCTCTAACTAAATCTTGCGGATGCTCATCTGTTTTCAGGAAATCTGGTTGACGTATCTTAGATGGCGGTCCAAGATACTGGTTATAATTTTTCGGCATAATTATTCATGTTTATGTTTTCGGCAATGTGGACACCAATGATTATTATTCTTTACACTATTAAGAGAGTCCATCCATCTATGAGATTTAGAGCAATTCCGTAATAAAGTCATCATGCTATTGATATACTTTTCAGAGAAACATTGCTCTTCTCTGGGTATTTCAAACTTTTTTGCATCTTCAAGAGTATGTCTAACTCTCCACCACTGCCAGAGCAATGTGGACACCGTGAGTTTTTACATTTTACATTACTAGGTCAATCAGTCCATTCATGACATATAGCACAGCGCCATAATAAAGATAAACTTCCATTAATAAATTTTTCAGAGAGACATTTCCCATAATTAATTACAATACTTGTGCAAAACCTTTATGTACTTTTTTTTATAAAAAAAAAATTATAATTATATATTTCAACCTATTTCTTTAGTTTCCAATTTTAAGATCAATTTACAAAATGACTTTTGGTAATATGAGAAAACCACAAGTATTAACGTAATATTAAATGAATTGATATGAATTAAAAATTAAGTACATGTAAATAAATAAATGATTATGAAAAATGAAAAATATGCACAAAATTATTTAGGGGTTTTTTCCTTGGTATATAAATACATCAATTTATTAATGAGCATATCAATTATTTAAAGTTATACTGGAGAGTCACATTTGCATTGTATAAAAATTTAAGATCCGATATCGCTAATATGGTAAAAAATAAAGAACGAAGATCCAAGGTCATGATTCTATTTATAAATATTTATTTATTTATTTATTTTATTCAGGCATTGGCTTTAATATTAAATTGTCAAGATAAAATTTGAATCGTGCTTAATGGAAACTCCTTTATTTAATTAATTAACTATATTAAAACCTCTATATGACGAAGCATTTATTTGGAGCACTTATATTTCCATTATAACGGGGTTTCGGTTTACCACGTATACCGAATTGATTAGTAAGAATCAGCAAATTTCATTATAGGGAAAATTATTATAGATTTGTATATCAGTAATGGTTGATACACCACCATAACCATAAAATTCGACATTGGGTAGATCATGTTTTTGTCCTTTATTAATACAAGTTTTTTTTTTTTGTAAAGCAGTTAATTGCCGATCCTTTTATCGGCAGAAAATTTTCAAAAATTTTGGGATAAGATAAATATAAATTTTAATATAAATTTAAAATCTTAAAGAACCAATATTAAATCCATCCCTAATGTCAAAAACTCGTTGTATTCCTGTTACTCTTTTAAATAAAGGTGCTTTAGTAAGCGATTTACATTATGGAC